ACTGTGACTATAGAACCTGGTGGTCGATATCTTGGCCATTTTACCCCAAATGCACCTAATCATCTAGATAAGCCAGCTAAAAAGATTGCTGAAGGTGTTTATAATTTGCTGCAACAATATAATCTTACTAAATCATGTTTAGTACTTGGAGCTGACAGTACTTCAATTAACACAGGCTGGAAAGGTGGTGCTATAACGCATCTTGAAAAGCTGTTAGGTCACAAGTGCCACTGGGCCATATGCATGCTTCATTTGAATGAATTATTTTTGCGTCACCTTATAGAAGGCATTGATGGACCAACATCATGTAGTACTGGATTTGTAGGTCCTGTGGGAAAATTTCTTCCTGATGTTAATAAAATGGAGTATAATCCTCAATTTAAAGCTCTTCCAAATGGAGAGAGCTTTGTCGACATTCCAGAAACAATATTAAAAAATATGTCAACAGATCAGAAACAATATTACAAGTTATGTAAAGCAGTTAAGATTGGTTTATTGCCACCTAATCTTAGAGAAATTCAATGTGGCCCCTTAAGTCATGCCAGATGGCTCACTACTGGCATGAGAATAGTCTTTATGTGGACAAGGAAACACAACTCAAATGATCAAAATTCGCAAAATCTAGAAATACTTGTTGTATTTTGTTTACAATTTTACTTTAAACTTTTTTTTAACATAAAGGTCAAAAACAGACTAGAAGATTCTTCTTATCACATTCTGTCTCAATTGAGAATTCTTAGAATGCAACCTGATAGAGTAAAAAAAATTGTGACTCCCTACATCCAGTTAGGGGCTTGGTATGCGAACCATGAAAGTATACTAATCTCTTTATTATCTAGTAATAATGCAGGAGATTGCAATTTTGCAGTTGATGGAATTTTGAAACTAAGGGGTAATGATATCCTTGGAGATATGCGAATCAGACCAAGAAAAACACCTAAACTTAACTTTGCAGCAACTACTCTTCAAGAGCTAGTTAAATGGGAAAATGGTGTTGTAGAAGAACCTGTTTTTACTTGTTCACTCACCAGAGATAAGTTGTTATTACTTAGATTGATACCTTTAATAACTCCTTCGATTAAAATTCATACTCAAAGTACTGAACGTGCTGTAAAACAAGTGACAGTAGCATCCATGTCAGTAGTTGGACCATATGCAAGAGATGGGTATATTAGAGCTAGAGCACAGCATAGAGAGTTGCTACCTGTTTTTAAAACAAAGAAAGAAATTTTATTAAATTTTTAACTTCAATAGATTTTTATTTTATTTGTTTTTTAATAGTGTTTTAGTAGTTCTATCAAAATATTATTGGGGTAAGATAGTGGGGATAAACCACCTATTTTTTGGTGAAAGTATAAAGAACTGTTATGATCAAATTTTTTAATCATTAGAGCCTCATAAAAAATTGAATACCCCCTCCTCCTCCCTTTAAAAAATGCAGAATCTGCACTGCAGATAGGATCCATGCAAGATAATGATTTTAAAAAACTTTCAATAATCTTAAAATATTATTTGCATTTAATATTTTATCGCAATGAAAATGAAAATATAAAATACAATGAAGGACATGTGACAAATTAGATTTTACTAATTTTTGCTATTTCTAAAAGTCCATATTTGGGTATCAAAACTTTTTCCGATCAAATTTTTTTTTTAGGAAACCATCTTTAAAATTTGATTTTACATAAAAGTACACCTTTTCCTAAGCTTTTAGAAAAAAAAAAAAATTCGCTGTACCCTAGTGTACATCCATAGGGTTAAGGATGCATATATGTAGGATCAAGGGAGCATACTGGTATGCACTCTTGATCCTAATTGAGTGTTTTTAATTTTTATAATTTAAAATCTACTTAAGATATTCTGGTAAAAAATTATTATTAAATTATGATAAGGTATAAAGTTGGCTATTGTGTTCTGTTACTTTAGAGGTTGGAAAATGAAAATATAGTTTCAGTCAATTGCCGATAGATTTTTATGGTAGTGTGTGCATCTCCCCTAATCATTTTTACTTGTATTTGAATTTTCTTGTGTCATGTAATAATTTTAGAGCATCTATTTTAATGCCATCTCAAACACACAGTATGGTGTTAACTTAAAACAAGACAAGAACAATCAAGCATGTCAGCATTATATCAGTTTTAATGAAAACCAATCATTAGCAACAAATTATGAAAACCTGATTTGGATATTTAAAAGAATGGTTGGTTTGTGTTTTAAAATATAAATGTAACAAATGATATTTAATATATTAAAAAACATTTACATTAACTTGGTACTAAATACTGCACCAAGATATTTATCTGAATAGAAAAAGAAAACTCAAAATTAGCAACATTACATTTAAACAAAAAAATTAAATTTTTTTTAATTTTATTTGATAAAGTTTAAAATAATACATTTTTAAAATTAACAACATATAGCATTTTATAAATAATTGTTATTGACAATTTGTAATAATATCTTTTTAATTTTTAAAACAAATATATTCATTTTATACTAGGCCCCATTGCTTGCTGTTAAAGAACTTGAAAGATGTATAAAAGTATGTGATTTTGTTTCACTGTTTTTAAAAATCTTAAATGGTACAATATTTATATATATATATATATATATATATATATATATATATATATATATATATATATATATATATATATATATATATATATATATATATATATATATATATATATATATATATATATATATATATATACATACACATATATATAGGCAATAATTTGCTGACCTCAATCTTATAGAGGTCGGCAAATATAAAGGTCTTACCATAAAGCATCGAAACGAGGTCGGCAAAACCGATTTTTTTTTGAAGAAGTTTATTTTTGCAGATGTTTATTAAAAATAATGTAGAACATTGCAGACTTACAAAGAATCACTGTGAAAAGGTTTTATAATCCAAAACTATCGTAACCAGAAGTTCAATAAACTAATCAGTGCAGAACTGGCAATCAAGTTCCTTCAATATTTTTATTTTTGCTATAAAATGAAGGAGAAAGTTTATTAACTATTAAATTTTTGACTAACATCATGCTAATTATTTCACTTTTATTATTTACCAATCAGTAATTCAAAAAAAAAAATTTCATACATTTTCAAACTTTTTTCAAGTTGTTTTGATTTAGTGAATATTTATTAGGAATTGAAATTTCCTGGAATTATCATTGGTTCTCATGTTAATGATTGGAATCTTGATGCAGAAGAACTTTTGCCAGTATTTAAGGTAAAATAATAGTTTGTTTCAAGACTTCAAATAACTAATATTCATTGTTTTTTAAATTTTGAATATTTGTATACTTTTAAATAGCTTTTATTTGTTTCATATCATGCATAATCATGTATGATTTATATTTATTATAAAATTTTGTCTTATGTCAAAAACAAAATATTTATCACTTTCAAGACCACAAATAAAGTTGTATAAAGACATAAAATAAGGCTTATTTTTAATATGGATTTTTTTTTTAATTATTAAATTAAATTGACTGAAATAACCATAGCAACAAAAATGCTAAAGAATTTTGTACGCGAAAATTAAAAAAAAAAAGTCATTGTATTTTAAATTAAATTAAAAATATTCATGTTAGTTTAAACTAATTGAAGATCAAGCAAGAGTAGTTTAAATATTTTTTTATTTTTTTTCTTGAACAGTTTCTTATTTTTAATTAAACTGTATCTTATTTTTTTATTAAATATTTATTATTTTTATTTAAACAGTTTTCTGATAATCATATTTTATTTTTTTCATTTTTTTTACCCCTGTGGGTGGAAAAAACTTCTAAAAAATGAAAATACTTGACTTCTTATAATCATAGTAAACAAGTCAAATAAAAACATTTTATTTGCTTAAAAGGGTTGTCTGGAAAAAATCAGAAAATTACACCATTTTAAGTGACATCAGGAATGTAGCCAGCTTAAAAATTTTTTATTAAATGTTATTCCACTGTGTGACTATTAGATTTTCTTGGTGTGCCATAAAAAGTATATATCCTTTATGAAATTTCATTATTTTTTAATAAAATGATTGTTTAGGCAGCAGAAGAATTAGGCGCATGCATTTTTGTTCATCCTTGGGATATGCAATCAGAAGGAAGAATGGCAAAATATTGGTTACCATGGTTGGTTGGTATGTAAAGTTCTTTTGGTTGTAATGAAATTTTTCATTACCATAACCAGCATGGTTAAATTAGTTTATTTTTTCGATGGTTTTTAGTTTTTTCTTGTTTTTACAAATTAAATAGGCATGCCATCAGAAACCACTGTAGCAATTTGTTGTTTGATATTTGGAGGTGTTTTAGAGAAGTTTCCTAATTTAAAATTTTGTTTTGCACATGGAGGTTATTGCTTTTATCTTAACTTGTTTTAAATATAATTTGTTTTAAATAAAATTTATTTTTTCATTATTTTTACAGCTTTGCAACTTAAATGAAGTTGTTTTACTTAATAGGAGGTTCATTTCCTTTTACTATTGGACGAATACAACATGGCCATGATGTTCGCCCTGACCTTTGTGCTGTTTCTAATACAAATCCACCAAGGTAGTGATTTAGTGTGTCACTTTTCTTATGTATTCATAAAGCCTAAGTTGAATGGTATAATTTTTTTGGTGATAAAACAGCTATCAGGAAAACGTTTTTCTTTTCTAAAAATATTGTGTTTTTTCTAGGGGTGTACTGATGCATTAGTCAATAGCTGGTTGACCATTTAGCTGATGCATCAGCATCGGTCTTGGTAACTATTGGTTGATGCCAGTTGTTTTAAAAATTCAGATTTTTTATTTTTGTGTTACTATATTGTATGCAAAAATATAATTATTCCATAAACCAAAATCCTTGTATAAGCCTAAGTTATTATATAGATATATCTGCATCCACTAAACCTTTAAATATTTTTTGAACTGCTTTTTTATCAAGAGCTCCATGCATTTAGTATCTTTTTATTATTTAGGAAAGTAATTATATGACTTATGGATCCAAATTATACAAAGAGATAAGTTTAAATCAAGAAATGTCAATGTGATGTAAAATATAAAAAAAAAATTTCCACTTTCTATTCTTGATATTTTTATTTTGCAAAGTTTACAACTCGAAATAGTCTACTTTCATTGTTTATTTTCATCTATATCGAAATAGTCTACTTTCATTGTTTATTTTCATCTATATCGAAATAGTCTACTTTCATTGTTTGTTTTTATCTATATCAAAATAGTCTATAAAAAATTTAGTTATTTTGCTCATTGTTGATATTTTTTTAATTTAATTTTATTTCTAAGTTTAATTCCTTGAATATAGTTAGAAATTTTCAACAAGAGCAAAGCAACTATACATTAAGCAAATTTTAGCAATTAAGCAAGCATTAAAATTTAAAAGTTTTGTTTGAAAAAAAATCCTTGCTTAACTATTAGTAAAAAAGAAAAGAGTAAAAATTCGAATTAAGGGCAGATGCATCGACATCAGCTTGTACCAATCAGCATTGGCCTCAGCTATAAGTAGGCATCGGTGCACCTCTAGTTTTTTCCCTAAATGTTGACTATTTATGTTACAAATATACATAATGACTATTTATAATATTGATCAACCCTATGCTTTATTCTAACAGAATGTTTTTTGTTTTTTAAAATATTAATTTGTGTATAAGTGCTAGTTAATATTCAAATATACCTTATAAATATGATGATATCTATTATTGACTTATTTTCAAATTAATTGCTATTTTTTGGCTTTTTTATTTTCCTTATGCATAATATATTCAAAATAGTAAAATGGTATTATTAGAAAGTAAGAAAAACTGAAAATCCATTAACACTAAGCTAAGCAAGTATCTTGGAGGTCAAAGAAAGTTTCTCCAAACTGAATTTTCAACATTAAGCAATTGCTGCAACAAAAAAAATTCTTTAAAAAAAGATCCACGTTATTGCAAAACATTTTTTGTAATGTTGCCAATGAATTTGCAGAATGATAATTTATTTTTAACACAGAGTTTAAATTTTATTAGTTTGTGGTAGTAAAGCTATAGAACTAAAACTCAGTAGAGGTTGATCTGTGTTCTCTAAGATTATATTCTCTTTATACAAAGCCCAAATGGCTAATAAAGAGCTAAGAGGAATCTAAACTTGATAAACCTTAAGACTTTTCTTTTTGCAAATGCAGAGTTGTTTATTGCAGTGAGAATGATGCCCCTTACAAAGAATCCGATTGTGACTATGGTGATTGCCTTTGCAAATATGACTTGAATTTAAGAATTTCACAAGAAGAGCTTGTTTGGATTAAAACACAGCAAGAAATACAAGGTAGTGTTTCACCTACAAAAGATTTTGGCCTGGATGTTAAAGAAACTGCCAAGCTTAGGTTCAAAAACTTGCATAAGTCAATAGATAAGCAAGGCTCTATCAATAAAGAGAAGAAGCTTTAAAAGCTAAGTAAGAGTCATCAAGAACATTTTATTCATCTGCTGTTACATTAGGCACTAAAAATATGAATGTTGTTGCAGAAATGAATAATAATTCCAATGTTGATATGGTAAGTGATAGCAATAAAATCAATGATTATGTCGGTCAAAGAAGACTCAACATTAAAAAAACAAGAAAATTATCTTAAACAAAATTACCTTGATATTAGTAATATTGCCATTGCCTCTGTCAGATTTGATGTGTCATCGACTGCTACTGCTGCTAGTAAACAACCGGGGTTGATATTCGACAGGGGCCTGGTAAAATACAGGTTTGTAACCGGGGCTGCATAAACATTTTTACATCCTAAAGTACATTTTTTTCTTCTAAATTTATGTTTGATTTTGTATATATGTGTTTATAAGCATCATTATGATCAACATGATCATCATCATCATCATCATGATTATCATCATGATCACCATCATCATGATCATTGTCATCATAATTGTCATTATTATTATTATCTTCATCATTATCATAATCATCATCTGCTGCTGATGATAATGATGACATCATCAGCCTTTAGCCTTCCTCTTTTAGGCTGTTTCTCTAATCATGGTCAATGCTCAAATGAGCTTATCTCTATTATAATAAACCAAAACTCATTCTTGCATGGCTTTCTTATTCAACAAGTTGCATCCTTTTACTATATCTGTCCCTATTTATTAAATACTAGCATAAATATATGCCAGAATTTAATAAATAGTAAATGTAAGTATAAAATTATAATATATAAAGAATTATAAATTTATTTCTAGCCCGGCTATCAACCCCTGCTAAATTTTATAATTTTGCCAGGACCGGATTTGCATAAAGTTTCATTTTTAGCTAGGGCCAGGAACCCCAGTCACTTATTAACTGTTGCTTTCAATAATGGTCTTCTGAAAGATATTATGAAGGCAGGGAAACTTGTTGAAAAAAAAAAATCTAATTTGTGATAGCATGAAAGTTTTTTGTGTCAAATAGTAGTGGAAAATTTAGACTGTGAAAGAAATATAATCACTGGAATTTTTGTTGATGGTAGAAAAGATAAAACTTTAATCCTTATGCATGATAGACCTTCAGAAAATTTTTTTTCAAGAAAATCTTATAACTGTAACAGAGAAGGTTAGTGGTCACTATCTTACTCATTATACACCAGAGCATGAAATATGTAAACCAGCCAAGCAATGTGCTATTGGATTATTTAACTAGTTGTTGGAAAGAGATAAAAATCTTAATTTTCAAATTATTGGCGGCGATAGTACAAATGAAATGTCTGGATGGAATGGTGGAATGCTTTACTTTGTGGAAAAACTTCTCAATCCAAAACTTTTTGGATCCTTTTGCTGGCTTCATATTAATAAACTCCTATTACATCATTTTGTGGAAAAACTTGATTAGCCAACTTCTTCAGAAGAAGGATGATGTGGAGCAGCTTGTAAACTGTTTTCTAAAGTTGACAATCGTGAAAGAATTACTAAATTTATGCTCATTCCCTACCTGGTTTAGTTAACATCAGTGAGGACTTAGAAAAATGGTCATTTGTTGTCAACATAATATTGACAGTCAGGGCTGGAAGTATAAACCTTGGGTTTATACTTCCAGCCTTTATGCTTCGATGTCACAAACATCAAGGTTTATTGTTTCCAGACTGGAACAATAAACCTTGATGCTTGTGACATTGAAGTACTTATTGGTTAGAAAAAAGAAGTTTTTACTGAACCAGTTTTTACTGCCAACTTGTCATTAGCCCAACTCAAAACATTGAGAGTCTCCCAGGAGCTTCCTTTTTATTCATTATATATCCAAAGTTGTGAAACTAGTTACCCAGGCAGCTGAGTCAGTCCGTGGTTAGGGTTAGAAAAGGGTGGTTATAAAAGAGATGGTTGTATATGCAAATAAAAACTTAATTGCAAAATCAAGAAAGAATGCATGTGATAATATCATAAAAAGACCAATTCTAAAATAAAACACACATGTAAAATGTTTAAAACTAGCTCTCACTTGTTTTCATATAGAATGATTATATATTTAGTTAGTACTAATTTTTTTTATTATCAATTAAATATTTTTTGATTATTATTATTGTATTTGTTACTTGGTTGTTTTATCTTCAAGTTTGTTAAATTTATTTTTTTTAATTTTATTTTTTTATTAATGGGTTTTCCAATTATGGCATATCCCTCTATTTGAATGAAGGTTGTTAGTTTTTAGGGTTTGGGGTGTGTGGGTGTGTGAGATAATTCTAGTCTCTGTTAAACTTTATAAAACTTTAGCATGTTTAAAAAAAAGGCTTTTATATTTATGTTTATGTATACAGTAATCATAATATATCTTGATAATTAAAATTATCAAATATTGACTGGAGGGCGGCGGGGAACCCTAACCGTTTTTATACATTTTGGGCAAAAGAATCTTGTGGGGTTGATGATAATTTTATCTGTATATCGGTCGTAGTTTCTTTTTACTATATAAAATTTTAATTTGTAAAAATAATTGTCTAAAACTTTTTAAAAATGAAACCTTAACTTAAAAGAATAATTTTTAATAAAACAGTAATTTAAAAACCCGTTTCCTGGTACAATACTATTTTACAAAAATATTATTAAAATTGAATTTCTCTACCCAAATACATAGGAATCTAAGCGTGCTTGACAAAATTTTAAAAATTTAAATTTTGACTGAAATATATACCCTAACGTACAAACTATTATACAAGAAGTAGTAAAAACTGAAGTTATTAAAATGTTATGCGAAATTATGCTCTCTTTAATATTATCTCATTACATTAATTCTTTACAAATGATTGTTCTTTATAATGTAAGCTCTGTGATGTGTGTTATGTGCTGTATACTATCTGTTGTATATTTGGTGTTTGACCAATTTTTGTACTTTTTTTTTTTTGTGCCTAATCAAGAGACATTAATATTTCTAATAAGCGTGTTGCAAACTTTGATTTTACTTAGAAGACACTTCCAAATTTTTATCAAAATTGATGATTACGATGATTGTGGTGGTGGTGGTGATTTCGTTTTTTAATAAGTTTTGATGAGTTTGTTTAAATGTTTTTAGGATTTTCGATTTATTTTTAGAAACATCTTCTGGTGAAACATCTTTTAAAAACCAGTTTTCATCCTTCTATATTACGTATGCTATTATTAATATACGATCTTTCGTATTGGATCCCTATGAATCTCTATTAATTACGTTTGAATTTCTAGTGTGTATTCTTTTTGATTGTGTCTGGATTTTATAACGTCTTTTAGTTTGTATCAAGTTTCTTTAAATTTTTAATAAATTTCTTTGCATTTCTATTAGGCTTGTTTCAAACTGAATTTTATTTACTCGATGAATAAAAAAAATAAAGTTTTTTCATTTTTGTGCTACATATTTGAAATAATATTTTTAGAAAATATATTTTTAGAAATACTTTTCTTTTTTTTTACATTTAGAAATACTATTTTTAGAAATACTATTTTTAGAAAATATATTGAAATATATTTTTAGAAAATATATTGAAATATATTTTTAGAAAATATATTGGGAAAATATATACAGACAGCTTAGTTCTTGATGCTGAAGCTTTAATTCATCTTGTAAAAGTAATAGGAGATGATCGAGTAATAATGGGTTCCGATTATCCATTTCCTCTCGGGGAACACGAGCCGGGCAAGTTAATTGAACAATCCTTGTTTTCAAACGAAGTTAAGGTAAATGTTAGGAACTTTTTTAATTTCTTTGTTTTTGTATGCGAAATATCTTCTTTATTTTTGTATGCGTAATCATTACTTATATCATTATTATATATAACAGGAAAAGCTATTAGCTCAGAATGCCGTTGAGTTTCTTGGTATAGATAGAAGGTATTACGAAATGTAAATTTTATATGTTTGTAAAAACTTTTTTCTTAACCTCGTTTCTTGGTCATCAATTATTAATTTTAAGATTAGCCAATTTTGATGAAAATATTTCACTTTTTTGTCATTTATTATTGCAATTTTCATTTGCATTTATTATTGCAATTATTATTGCAATTTTCGTCATTTTAAAAACAACAGTTAATAAAGATTTAAAAAGTGATATTTTTTATTCTTTAAGTTTTGATATGAAAAACACACGAATTATAATTTTTTTGTAACGTGTTTTTTTGAATTTGGTATTTGTAAAAAGTATATTTTTATAAAATTTTATTATTAATAGGAATTATTTTTTATATCTTATAATAATATATTATTTAGTTTATTTTGAAATAATGACAAAAACGAGAATAATTTTTTTATTTATAAAAAATTGTTTAAAAAATGTTCAACCAATTTTTGAAAATTGTTGTGTTTAGCGTGCATTGTGGTATATTTTATGATCATTTATGAACATTTTCGTTAGTTCGTTAGTAACAATAAAATGTTACAACCAACAAATTCGTGTCGATTTTCTCGAATTTCTGATTAATTTGAATTATGAAATTTATTTGCGACCCTTTTTTGCTTTGACATACTGGGGGCAACATAAATAATTTTTTTTTTTTAATTTCGTTAATATTGATTCTTATTCTATAATATTTTAATATCAAATTTATGCTGCTTCTGCTGCCGTTACTCATTCGTGCGTGTTTGCACAAAACTTAAGACAGCCATTAGACCCAAGTTAATGGCGAGAAAGAGTCGCAGCACTTTTTGTATAAGAAAATGTGAACGAGAGTATATGCAAATACCGGGTTTTGCATTTTATCTGGTGATTTTTCACACGAATCTGGAAGTTTTTTTCATTGAATCTGGCGGTTTTTTGCATTCAATCAGTTTTTCTTTAACACAATAAATATATTTTATTGCTCTTTCTCCGACCATAATATTTTTCATTAAGAAAACGAAAAATTTTGAAATGTAACTCTTTCAACGTGCGCTCTTCAAAGTACAACAAATACTTTATTTTGATATCAAATTTTTTACAGCACGTTTTATCTATTTTACATAAAAAATTACAGTACGTTTTATCTATTGATTTTTTATGTACAGTTGTTACGCTGTAAAAAATCAGTAGAATCTTTTTTCAGAAACCATGTTTGTGTTTAATATCGTACTACTGTTACCTAGGCAACATTCCATTTTTAACAATTTATGTCAAAAGCGACAGCTGTTTATATGTTTATTTGCAGGTTATCGCATTGTTTATGTTAGATATACTTATGTATATCAAACATAAACAATACAATGTACTTATCAATAATAGATGATGTTTGTCTAGCAACACGCATTGATTTTTTAGTCACGGAAAAAGCGCACCGAGAGTAAGCGATAGCGCTTTTACCGAATTTAAGCATTTTAACTGTTTTAACCCAATAGGGTAAACTGACTTATTTCTGGCCACGTCCTAATTCTGGCCAATTTTCAAAAGCACTCAAATCTTTAATAAAGCGTGAGATTGCTTTGTTATAAAATGAAAAATAATATTTTAGCTTAGTAATTTTAAAAATGTTTAGCCTAAAATATATGAAGACTTCCCAATGCTTTAAAAACATACTTGAAATATTTGATAAATTTTTTGTCTCCGTAAACTTAATGTTTGTTATTTTCAAATTTTTAAACGTTTGTAAATCGCTCGAATTGCAAGTAACATTGGAAAATAATATTGTTAAAACTACATATGCATTTATGTGTATTTTGTAAATTGATCTATAAATTTTTAAATTTTTGATTTTCTACATCCAATCCGAATTAAGTTCCAAATAGCCAGAAATAGGTCTTTTAGCTAGCATCTAAAAAATTGACGCCTAAACACATGATAACTTTAATTTTGTTAAAAATTTTATAAAATTATATTCATCGTTAAGTAATCTATTTAAAACCAAAATTGTTTGTTTATATTACACAACGCGAATTTATTTTTTTAAATAATAAATGCAAAGTTTACAAAAATAGGTCAGTTTACCCTATTCATAAGCGTCGCAACGTAAGTCAACAATGTCGATAACTAGGAAACTAGTAAACTTGTTAATGCTATCTTTTTTTTTTTGAATGAAGGGTTTTATAATATTTACCATATGATCACACAGAATCCGTTATTTTTTTTCCGATAATTTTGACTTAACCCATTCCAATACTTTTGACTGATTTTATTTGTTTTACAACAAAAGTAAAAGATCTTTGAGGTCGTCCACAAATTACGTCACGGAATTTTAGACCGTTTTAGACCCCCTCTCGTATCCCTCCTCGTCACAAAATCCTAATATTTTAGTAAGAATTTCCATATGAGAGCCGTCACAAAACCATTAACTCCCCCCTTAGACGTGACGTAATTTATGAACGACTCCTTTTTTATAAAACAAATTAGGAAAAATGCATAAATTTCCGTTTTCAAATTTTATTTTTAACAAGCAAGAAATAACAGTTTATTTAACTGGTATGTTATATTCTATGCAAATATTGATTTATAAATAATGTTGTATTTCTTGTAAATCTTACTTTACAATAATAATTGTTATAATTTTTTTAGGTGCAATTATTTCAATTGTTTTTAATTTGACGGATGTGCTAATTTATTAGCTCAATCCGATGCGTTAAAAAGCGGACCTTTGATTTCAGTTTTGCGGATTTAGGCATCTCATGAACCAAAAAGAAAAAGGTCAAATGCTAACATTTGCTCCATAAAAATTTACTTATTAGTTTTATAACAATATATTCATAAATAAGAAACTGGTTAAATTACTAATTACTTCCTAATATTTACAATTACAGCTCATTTGAAAGCGATTAAAATATATACTTTAAATATATACTTTATACACTTTTATACGTTTATTATTCATTACTTTAATATCATTGGTTGTAGTTGCAATCTTTCTAAAAAAATTCGTTTTTTTTTTCATTTTCATTTCTAGCTTTTCTAGCTGTTTCTTTGCTTATCTCAAATGGAAACTCGTTTGGCATCATGAACTTTATAAGAGTATAATCAAATTGTGAACAATTTTAAAACTTGGTGTTCGACTGAAACCATTAAACTAAACATACAAATCTTTTACTACTGTTTACGCTCAGTCAAGGTAAATATGTTAAGTTTTAAATTTGAAGACGACGCAGAACTTTCTGAACATTCACTACTTAAACTAGGAGCAATTGCGTTGATTTTATCTTTTTTACGGCAGTATTCAATCATGGATATTATTAAGTTTGAAACAGATAACAAAATCGACACACAAGACATAATAAATGGACCTTGCTCCATTTTAACGTTGTCAATTCTTATATAGATGATAGTTCCGGTCATAAATGTTACTAGAAAATAAATTTAAACATTAATCGAAAGAAGTGATTTAAGAAATATGTAAAATTAATAATAAACAAAATAATTATATTAACTAGAGGCATAATTATTTAGCAGTTACGCGTAGTTAAATGGCAGATGCGCATAAGTTCTAAACATAACCGTTCATAATAAAACCGATTCAAATTGTAGAATAAATTTTATCAAAAAAAGTACCATTAAATAATGAAGCAAAGTTACAAACATGATAAAAACGGCGCGACCATAGAGTTCCAATCGAACTAAGTAGCATTATTATTGAAACAACACTCGATGCAATTAACCAGCGCAGATAGTATATATGTGGATGAGACTCCCAAAAAACACTGTACTCGTTGAATGCTTTTATGAACATACCTAGAGATACATGTTGTAAAACCACACATATAACACTTGTAAAAACTAAAACACTTTTTTTGCAATCTACTAACATAATTTTAACGTTAATAATGTTTTCTTGTAAAAAGACAAAAAACAATATTTGGTTACTTATATTTTGATTGACTTATCCAAAAGTTTTGAAGTGTTTGTCTTAGGCTGGTTTTAAACTAACATATCTTCCTCAGTTTATCATCATCAAATCAAGGCATTGTCATCAGTTCAGCGTTTGAAATTCTTTTGTTATGAGCCATCAGATTTTAATTTTAATAATAGTTTCATAAAATTAACTTCCAATTCGGTGAAGATTAAATAAATCAAATATTGAGAAAAAACGGAAAATAAATTAATAAACAGCGTAATAATAGTTTTAAATGAAGTATTAAAGTATTAAATGACGTATTAATGTTTAAATGACGTATTAAAATTTTTAATTTAGACTTAAAATAGTAAATAAACAAATATTAAATAATAAATAAACAAAATAGCGATATGAACCTAAAGTTTACAAATAAAATGTCTTCATTATCTGCACCATTTTATTCTACTTTTAATTTGTAGTGTGGAAGGGTAAAGGTCAAGTCGCCGGTACCCGCTCATTAATTTGCTTCTAATAAAAAATTGTTCCAAAAGGACTACTTCATTTAATTAAAATTGTCTATCCATACTGATATTTTTGATTAAAACAATCTCTTGTGAAATGTAAGAAACTGTTTTAAAAATATTGTTTACATTTTTAAAATAAAATTTAAAACGCACCAAAAACTCAAATATTAAGTTATCTTTAGGACGGTAAAAAGAAAATAACTATTTAATAACTTAAGACCACGGTAAAAAGAAAATAATTAAATAATAACGTAAGATCACGGTAAAAAGAAAATAACTATAAGACCACGGTAAAAAGAAAATAACTAAATAATAACGTAAAACCACGGTAAAAAGAAAATAACTAATTTTTTTTTTTTTTTTTTTTTTTTACAACACAATTATCCGTATATATTTCAATAAAACAAAATTACATATTTTTACATATAAGTACAAAACGTACAATTAAACAATTTTTGTACCATTAAAATTTTTACAAGACAAATTTTACCATTAAAATTTTTACAAGACAAAATTCAAAATTCTGTTCAGCGCATGCGCGTTATACAATGTACAAAATAAGGTAACTACTATTCGTTGTTTATAATATAAAGTGCTGGCTATTAACCCATGCATTTAAAAAATATATGCAAGTCCGTCATACCACAGGGCTACTAGGGACTTGCTTGTGGACGTTGTTGAATATATATATATAAAATTATTCTTAAAAAATATTTTTCTTTGTTGTAAGGAAACTCGCAGAAGACTAAAATAGTATTTTCATCGAGAACCTTTAAAACATAAAATAAACTTTAATGAACTAGTTCAACAACTACACATAAGTATTTTGGTATCTACTATATAGTAGAAGTAGTAGGGCTTTTTATTATTACTATTTTTCCCAAATTGTTTAATACATTTCGATGAAGTTGGTTAAGTTAATTATGATGTTTTAGTTTTTTTTTCAGAGCAATAAGGTTATCCATTTTATTAAGTTCCATATTTTGAAGTATTATTTTGTTATATAAGTATGGGCCACGGTATATTAAAGAAAATTGCGAGAATTTTGTTTTTTTTAAAGGCAAGGTGAAGTTGCCTGTTCCTCGTGTGAATAATAAGGTAAGACCACGGTAAAAAAAAAAAAAAAAAAAACTTGACGTAGCGAGGTGGTAACGCAAGACACTCAATTTTGAAGATATACATTAGTTTAATTTTGTTTAAATATTTTTCTGCGTTTGTTAAAATAAGTGGAAAAATGACTATTTCTAAAAAGCTAAATAGAAAATGACAAACTGATAGTTACTAAAGTGCCAGAAATTTTATCATAATCGTTCCAAAGTGAAACTACAGGCAAACTTCACAATGTCTTCTGCATAGGTAGGTAGGTGGTGGCTTATAACTCAATCTAATTTTTAAATTTCGTAAATCGTAGATTAAAACGTTTTTGATTTTCAACCGACAATTTTGATTTTTGTATTTACACCTAATTAAAACACGTACTACTAATTTTCTAACCTACTAAATTGCTGACCTACTGCACTTTTGATCTACTGAATTTTCAACCTACTGAATATTCAACCTACTACATTTTCAATTTTATAACTACGCCTTTCCAGTATGTATTTTGTATATTTTGTTGTTGATTTGAATACAAGCCAAATTTAATCAGCCTTGGCGCAGTGGTTGAAGCGCTGTCTCCAGAATCAGGAGGTAAAAGGTTCCATGAGAGCTTAGAAAACTATTGATGGTTAATTTAAAAAAATATATATTCTTAGCTTCAAAAAAACAACGTTAAAAGAACAGACCAGATAATCGGTTAAAAATTAATTTATCTCAAATCGGTTGAAAACGAAAATCTATAAAATAGGTCAAAAATAAATCAGTCGAAAACAAAAACGCCATATATAGGTTGAAAATAAAAAAGACTATAATTGGTTAAAAACAATTTAGGCCTCATTAGGTTATCTGAAAACTAGTTCCGCTTGTTAGTTGATGTTCTTTTTGTAGAATAACTTAGTAGGTCGAGATTTTTGTTAGTCTAGCTATCTAACACGGCAAGGTATGTATATACCTTATTATAAAGTTAATACTTTACTAAGACGCGTGTCTTAGCAAAGTATAATTTAAAACTCTAGCATTAGAAGATCATCATAAAATAATTGTTTTAATTATATTGTTTTATTGGAGCACATCTTTAAAGATAGCTAGTAAAAGCATAAAAATTCCTTTCAATACAAAAATAAAACGAATTCTACAGAACTTTTTGAATGAAATTAAAAAAAAAAAGATTTTCAAATCAGTTCTTACGCCGAAAAGTATTGATAAACATCGAAAGGGTTAATATCAAAATGCCGCCACGAAAACAAATTGTTAGCTGTAACTTTAACTTTATTTAAGCTAACACTGTATTCTATTTTTGTATATAGTTATTTTTATCGTTACAGTTTGTTTTTAAAGTCTTATAATTGCATAAAGCGTGAAACTGGAGTTACGTTTCAAATTCAATATTATTTCTTACAATTTATAAAATTTTCAAACTCAAACTTTAGATTGTTTAGTCACGTACTTAATAATTATAATAAAAGGCACATAAAAGCAACGTACTTAATAATTATAATAAAAGGCACATAAAAGAACGGCTTATCACAAGTGAGATTCTAAAATAAAATGTTTCTTGGGTTAATGTGCCACCCCCAACCCTTGTTGCACCCTACTTATTCCCATAGCCCCTGCCCCTGCCCCTTCCCCAATTCCCCATCAACGCTAAACCTTAGTCCCCTACTGCAAAAAGCACTTTTTGTTTCCTGTTTTCATGTATATTGATATATAAGATGAGGTAAGGTAACTCTACCTCCTACTTTTCAGTAGGGGTGGAGTTACCCAACCTTACCTTATACAGTAGCGTCCAAAAGTTTGCGGACAGCCAAAAAAATAGGAATTTTAGCACATACTTCACTAAAGCCAACATATTATATACCAATCAAAAGATTTTCATGTTTACAATTATATTTTTAACAAATAATGATTATCCAATTAACATTTTAAAATTGGTATACAAATGAACGATTTTTGATAAGTTCAAAAGTTTTTTTTTTAAATAGTACAAATTTTCAACAATATTTGATCAGAAATTTATGTAAAAAGCAAATTCACATTTTGTATTAGTATTTAATTAGTATTTTTTTAAAAATACTTTACAATAAACGATGGCTTGGGATCTATGAGGCATAGATTCAACTAAATAAATGCAAACGTCAATGGGAATTGCGTCCCATATTTCTTTGATTTTATTAAATAAATCAACATGATTTGTAGACTTGATTTCTTTTTTTTGACGGTCAACATGTTCCCATAGATGTTTAATTGGGATGACAATTTCAAAACTTTAACTTTATTCTTTTTAAAAACTCTAAAACCGGTTTGGTTGCATGTTTGGGATCGTTATCCTGTTCGTATATCCATTCTCGAGGCATTTTATCATTTGCATAAGGCAATATAATAGTCTTTCATATATCTTTTTACTTTTCTTGATTTATAGCCTCAGTAATTCTATGGAGCGGACCTAAAGAGTTTGGAAGGGACTCTAGCATTAATTCACATAGATAAGATAACTTTAATATATATTTCTTGAAGATACTCTCGTTATTTACAATTACAAACTTGGATCGCGCCAAGTGCTCAGCTCGTGGTGAAGAAGGAAGCGTAAGAGAGCGAGACTTGCTACGCGTTCAGTTAAATATACAAAGTAAAAGAAGCATACTGGCTTATTTGTATATATATGTATATATATATATATATGTATATATATCTGTATATATATATATATATATATATATATATATATATATATACATATATATATATATATATATACATATTTGAAAAATTATTTTAATATTTCTATATCTCTCGACCACTTTGTCTTTTGACCACTCGTGTCTTTAGGAGGCGAATCGGCTTGCCTCCTATACTTTTCTCTTATGAGAATTTTACATCCTGCACATTGACAAAGTATTTACATCCTGAGTTGAATGGCCCCTTGCAAAACAAACCTAGATATTAAAGCTATTAATAGATTGATACATACTTTTCATCAACAATTTAAAGCTTTTCGTGAACAAAACGAGTGTTAACGAAAACACTTTATGTCATTTGTGAAACTTTAATTAATCTTTTCTGTTGATCAAAATAAGCAACGCATAGTTTGCAGATGTAGTGCTAAATTGCTTGGAAAGCAACAGTTCAAAAATCAATTATAAAGTTAGAAATTGCACCAATGCTGCAAGTAATCGTCTTGCATAAACAATAGATTACTTTAAAATTAAAAAAACTTTCGTACAAAAGTTGGTGTTAAATATGTCCAGACAATGCTGTGTACGCAGCATTTTCATCCCAAAAAATGATAAAATAAAGTCAACTTGCCTGCAACCAACCTTCAATATAGTAGAAACTCCAGCTATCCAAAAGGAAAATCAAAAAGAAATCGAATAACAACTGTGTCGTATCCTGTGCGTCGACACAAAATATAAAAATTTGCATATGTACAAATATTCAAAGGGGTGTGTCTCAATAAATTAGATGTAGAAGCTGCCAACACCAAAATAACAACAAAGCAAGCTAGGAAACAAGATAAGTCTAATACTTATGATAAGGAGCAAATAATTCAAGAAATAACAAACAAAACTCAATAGCAATTTTTAGAGTCAATTTTAAAAGTCGCTCTTAAGTTTTTGGGAGAATTTTAACAAAATAAAATAGTGATTAATATTAGTACAAAAATTATTTAGAAAAGAAATTAAAAATTAAAAAAAGGTTTGACTTTGTCAAACATGCACCGAGTTTTATTGCATTAAAAAGTGCCACATAAGTGACAACTCAACCTCCACAACCTCTCAGCAACTCAACATCATCACAAAAGTACTTTATTATTCTTATTTGGTTGTTTTTATAATTGCTTTCATTGGTTGCTTTTTTTAATTAGGTATTCTTTTAATTATCGATTGACTTGCATATTTCATTCTCCCATACATACTCAGCAAGCATTCTCCCATACATACCCAGCAAACATTTTCCCATACATACCCAGCAAACATTCTCCCATGCATACCCAGCAAACATTCTACATACCCAGCAAACATTCGGCGGAATTTAAGTGGATCTATATAGGCGTTTTGAGCGGTCCACAGTAGTTTTGCTAATCAGTTTCTTAGTGAACCATATGGCAGCCGTCAAAAGTGACTTGTCGATAACTAGCCACCATACCACATCTTGTAAAATTATTAGCAGGACATTTATTGTGGATGCCACTAAAGCTCCGCTAAGTAGACAATGAGCAAAACTACAGTGGATGGCTCAATACAATATATTAACATGAATTGCACCCAGAAAGTAAGTATACAACATGAAAAGCGGACATAGGGCGGTGATTAGAGTTCTGGCTCAGAACCAAGAAGTTTGTGGTTTGACGCCGCTTCTCTGGCTTAATAAGCGGCAAAGGTAAGAAAGGAGGTGTAAACTTTCTGATTAAATGCTCCTCCGCGGTGCTCTGTGATAAAATCGATAGGTTTTCTTGGAGTACTCTTATAACTAAAAAGTAAATATATAAATTAAAAAAAACAAAACTGTGTTTGATAAATGAGATATTCCTAATTTTGTGGTTGTTATAGCAACTGTATTTAGTTTTTCATTACGGTTTTTATATTACCGCTTTATTTTGCTCATTTTTAAACATCTATTTCTTATCTTTTAGACTTTTGACCTTCTAAAAAATGTTTTCTTGGCTTAAGCCATCATAAGTGGGCGCAGTAGGTGGTGAACTGGTAGAATAAAGTACTATTGACTTTAAATTAGTAACTAATGACTTTAAAACATTTGCAACACTTTATGAATTTAAGACCAAATTGAGGCAAAAACAAATCACTTCAACCTTGCGTATGGAGCTTTAAATGTGTATAAATTCAACTTACACCATGTTCATGTTTAAAACGAAGGAGGAATTTTCTTCTAAGAAATTTAATCTTATTTTAGTGAGATTTACAATAATTGCTTTACAATGTTTCCAGACAACAACTTTGTTTTTCCAAAATATTCTATAAAAATAACTTCCTATTAAATACTGTTAAAAAATTTCCAGATATTGTTAATAAAAAGAAGACTAGAACAGTTTAAAAATGAATCAAAGCAATTATTATTGGACTTTACCCAATTTTATACGTTTCAAAAAGTGCCATTCAAAAGCATATGACTTAGTAGAATTAAAATAATTTCATAAAACGCATATCGGTAAAATTGCTTTAAAACATATGCGATCGTCCATAAATTACGTAACGCAAAACTTATTATAAAAATATAAGTAGGAGATAATTTTGCTCTTTTGCGCGGCGGTTTTGCTGGACTTTAAAGCTTGTTTATATACTTGGTTTAATTAATGACTCTGCGAGGGAAAACTTTTAATGTTTTGTCTTTTGTCTATAAGTTTAATTTCGCGTTACGTAATTTATGGACGATCCCTATCGGTAAAATTGCTATAAAATGCTGCCTAAGAACTAGCATTTGATGACATCATCAATAACGTTTTGTTTTCAATTCCAATTAAAAAACACAAACTGACTGGTTTTTACTTTAAGAAAACCCGTTCTACATGTTGAAATAGATTAGAACTTGATTGACTCTTATAATTGAATATTGAACCAGATGATTGATGAATCTTGATTAAATTAGATGATTGATTTCGAACCTTGAAACTTGATCTTTTTGAAATTTAACAAAAAAACGATTAAATAATTACAGCATTCAACTAGAAATTAATAACTAAATACCAAACGAAGATAATTTGTATTTAACATTTTTAATAACAAGTGAACTCGTTATTAAAAATGTTAAACCTATAAATACAGATGCAATGCAAACAATACATATGACAATCCAAGCAATACAGATGCAATGCAAGCAATACAGATGGAATACAATCAATACATAGGCAATGCAATTAATACAAATGACAATGCAATCAATACAGATGCAATGCAAGCAATACAGATGCAATGCAACCAATACAGAGGCAAATCAAGCCATACAGATGACAATGCAAGCAATACTGATGCAATGCAAGCAATATAGATGACAATGCTTAACATGAACACAGCATTTTTTGTTTCACGAATTTCTTTTAGTTTATTTTAATTAATATTTATTTAATTTTAATTAATATTGTTGTGATTAAAGAGTATAAATCTCATAATGTCTTTAAAAATTAAAATTAAACTTTTACTGGCGAGTAAGAAATTAAAATGAAACTTTTACTGGCGAGTAAGAAATTAAAATGAAATTTTTGCTGGCGAGTAAGAAATTAAAATGAAATTTTTGCTGGGAAATAAAAAGTTGTGAAATGAAAATCTTCACCAGGTTAGTAATTTCTATGATAAAATTAAATAGAACTTTCTATGTTACTTGGATTTAGGTTTCCATTAAAAATTTTAACTAACATTATAAAATGTTTTTAACGATTTAGGACCTGTATTTTGAAAATAAAGTAAAAAAATAATTTCAATTTTTTATTTTAAAGTTTGTGCATAGCTAATACACATATATTGGGCCAACGTATGTAAATCCATTTACATACGTTGAATCAATGTCAAGTGTTTAACAGTGATACTAATAAAAAGATTAATACGGACGAATTAAAAACAGATTGCACAGTAACGTTGGACCAACGTACGTAAAAACATCGCAAATGTTGGCTGTTTTTATGATCTAAATACAATGTTAATCCAATGTGTATCATCCAACGTTGATTCAATGTATATGGATCAACACTGATCTAACGTATATATTTTATTTTTGGTTCAATTTATATGGAAACAATATATATATGCCAATATCGCAAATGCAAAATTAAATAACATTTTTAATATTAAATCACAAGCAAAACAAACTTGATTAATGTTTATCGATGGATAAATGTATCTAGCAATCGTACGTTAACTTTCAGTATCTCGAAGTTTATGAAATATCTAGTTTTTAATAATCTATGGTTTTTACCTGAGAGCGGTGAGTATAAATATAATAAAAATGCAATAAAAATGTAACTTATTAAAAAATCTTTTTGTAGAATTGTAACAGAATTAAAATATTTAAAAAGCAATAAAATGGTAAAATAACTTTCAACAAAAAGCAGTCTTTTTTTTTCTTATTTTTAAGTTTGCTGTATTGAATACCTTTTTATATTATAAATAAATAAAATTTAGACTGCATTACGGCTTGCATCTTTTAGGATTTAGATCCAAGAGACGTCTTTATTGAAAAAGTAAGATATAAAAGAAAACTGGTAAACACAGCACTAAATGATATCAGTATTAAAATTCCAAAATCTTCTGGCCTGAAGAGAACAATTGTTAATATATACTGCATCAAATCTAATACAGAATTTAAAGAAGATTGTACACCACCAACAGCTCCACGAAATTCTTCTTCAACATTTTCCTGCTGCAGCTGTGTAATTGTAAGATCTGATATCCATAGTCCTGACCGAGATAAAACTACCCCTAACATTAATAAAAGTATAGAAACATAACTATGATTAATTGCAACTGGTGGCTGTATTGTAGATGAGTTATTATAACTTACAGTATTTGTAAAAGTTGTGTTTAATTTAGTAACATATTTGTCTATATGTCTCAAACTACTCGGACTTCCAGGAGCCCATATTGATATCACGCATAGAATTAGCATGCTGCATTGATAACCAAGTCCGATAACTCCAGTTTTTACAAGACCAACTTTATTTCTTAAAAAAGGGAATACTATTGTTCCTAAAATTCCAAACAAAGCACCTGTTCCAAAGAAAATACTAACGTAAACCTCTTTCATTGACTGCGAGTACGCGTATCCAACGGTTATAGAGCTAAATCCAAGTACAGTGAGATATAATACTGCTAAAGCAATACCAGCTAAATATATACTTTGACTTTTGTATACTTTCCAACCAATAAAAGAAAGTTTTATTCTGTCAAAAATACCTAATCCAGTTGACTTCACTTTGTGATCGCTCTCAGTTTCTCCTAAAATTTCATACTCGTTAATATGCTTTTCTGCTAATTCTGGAACAGTTTTATAGATATGATGTAACTGAATATACTCTGAAAACATTGATAAAATATTCCATCCACATATTAGAGCGATCCCGGAAAGGTCCGATATTAATGACATGAGTGATCCAACAGCGATTGGAGCAAGTATTGCTACTGACAAATCTATTCTTCGCATGTGAGCATTTAGTTTGGCTAAACTATCTTTGTCTTTATGGCAAATAACAACGACCCAATCTCTTGTAATCGATATTTGTTCCCCTTGTGAAGCGAGATTTGCCGCTGCTCCAAAAATAATTACAAATGCTTTAAGAAATGAAAGAATGTTATTGTTTGTGGTAACCTTAAAAAGAATTAAACTTATAAATACTGCTGAACAAATGATTAGTCCGTTCTGCAGTAACAATAGGGTTCGTATAACTACCAAGCGATTTTTTCGATCAATCCAGTTTCCTATAATTGGTGCAAATAATATAACTGAACTAGTTACAACAGCACCATAAATTGCTGTTAGCTGCAATAATCCAGGTGTGAGCTTTACTAAATATAATCCAATTGCAAAGTTCCACATGCGATCTCCCCATGAGGAGAAAAAGAAGCTTGAGCATAGCCAGTATCCTGCCCACATTTCTCTAAGTATTAAACTTCACAGTAATCGAAATCAAGCTAAATAAAGATTTAGATTTTTTCAGAGAATCATTGTGTATTATAGAAATTAATGCTAACTTATTTTTAAACAATATAGTAAAAAATTAAAAAAGAATTCTTAACTTCTAATTAATTTTCAATTAACTGCTCTAATTGTAATAAACATTCTTAAAACCTCAATACTAGCTACTACCTCAATACATTTTTAAAGCTGTTTTTTTTACCTTTATATGAAGTTATCATTTTTGTTTGTATAAAATATTGTTAAATAAAAAAAAAAAAACATTTTACAGTAAAAAGCTAATGTATACTTGTTGTATAGTTATTATTTCATTATTAATCGTTTTCAATTTTAATTTGTTTTCACATTCTTTTACATGTATAAAATTTAAAATAAATTTAGTTACGTTATGTAATTTTAACGGTTTTAAATTATGAATATAAATATTTGATATAGAAGTAGGTTGCCCTAAAACCCTTTAAATTCTAATTTTAAGCAACGCTTTTTAATGATAAAATTAGAATTATCTTTAAAAAGAAAAGCAGAGATATCCGAATAAAAGGGCGGTTAACTCACGGTAGTAAATCAGAAGCGACGCTATTTATTGAAATCTATTCGCGCTTGAATGAGTATTGATTTCTATATATTTATAATAAAAATTTTAAAAGCTGCTTTTTCTAAATTTTCATTAAACATTTCAACATTTTCTCTACATACTTTGTCATGATACATAATTTCTACATTTTCCCTTCATTTCCTAACTCTTTATATGTTATAGACGGTTACCAACTCTCTGTATGTTATAGATGGTTACCAACTCTCTAAATTTTAATTATATGCTTACTAGACAAATTTTTATACATATTTTTGATTCAAAATGACGCATATTTAAAAGAGATTTTTTTTATCAAAAGCCTTAAAATTCAAAAATAATTTTATCAAAAACTTTAAACTTTTCAATAATTTATAATTGAGTTTTCGTTTTTTTAGAATTTTATGCTAAATTCTTGTATTAAAAAGTTATAAAAAATCAAAACATAACTTCATTATGCATTGAATTTAGTTTAACCCAAGTTAAACTAAAAATCATATTAGTTTTAAAACAAAAAATTAAGGTGATGAAATGCAAAAATTAAGAACTCTGTAATTTTATTACTTAAATTTAATGAAGCTTTTAAATAATTTAAAATATGTAATCTAAATTTGAAATTTAATAAAGCTTTTAATGTATTTATTGTACATATTTAAAAGTATGTACAATAAATTAATTTTGAACAACGAAATTTCTAAACTTGACTACTATTTAAAGCTACTAAAGTGTTGATAAACTTTTAAAAAATTGAACTCTATTTTTCATTTTGATATTTTTGAATTATTTTCTTCTTATGTTTTCTTTTTGCTTTCTTCATTTTGATACTTCATAAAAGCATTCACAAAGTGTCGCTGTCTTTGCTCTGTCTTTTTTTGCTTCACCAAAAATAATATTCAATTTGTTGTGCAAAGAATCGACTGTTTTGCTAGAATTTATTTTTTAATACCCATGCCACACATGCGAATTTTCATTTAAATGCAATCGGTAGGGGTCCGGGTCAAAGTCGCCTAATATAGTAGAATAAAGAGAGCTTTTTTTTTATTTATTATTTAATTTTTTTGAGACCCTAATAAAAAATCTTTCACAAACCAACTGCATTTGAACTCCTATAGTTTAAATTCTTATAATTCAAAAGATCAAAACGAACATTTTTTTTGGTCCCTTCAGAGTTTAATATTTAGAACTAAGCTTCTACAATTCAAAAACTCTTGTAGTTTGAACACATTTTGAGACTATTTGAGGCTTCGAATTACACAAATTTAACTGTATTTTTACTAACTTACCCTAAGCACATCACTATTTTTACTAGTTACTTCTATCGAAAAAAACTAAACCCTTCAATATATCAGATTTTTAATGCTATAACTTATAAGTTTAAGTTTGTAACGTAATTTTTTAGTTACTAAATAAAACTAATATATATTAACAACAATCAAAGAAAATCTTTACTTCTACTTTTTAGGTCTAAGCCTTCAAGGCCAAAGACCAATTTACGATACTTTATATCGTACGAATGATTGTGATCTTTCTTCAGATTTTGAATAACTTAATTTAAATATTTTTTAGTATCATACTTTTAGTATCATATTTCAATAGTATCATATTATTTAGTGAATATTTTTTTAATTTTTTTTTTACACGTAATAAATATCATGTCATTGTAATAAAAAAATAAACAAACCTTTAATTGATTTTTTTTGCGAAATGATAGTTTTACTTTTGATGTAATATACAATCTTGCAAGACTAATATAATTTAAATCTTCGTGTCTTAACTTACCTGCATAATAAAAGCTCTTACTTAAAATTGTTGTCTTAATATTACTATGGTGATACAATAAAAAGCGTATTAAAAGTTTTAAAAAAATGTTAGATTTTAATACGTGATTAGAACAAAAAACATTTATACGATTACGATCTTTTTGTTTGTATACAAAAACGATGTTATTGTTTATTAAGGAGTTTATTAATACTATAACAGATAATTATGAAATTCTATTCACGAACCCGATAGCGTTGAGTTTTTGATGACATCACAAAACGATTTTGTCCGCATATCAATCCCATAATGACTTGCGTTATTTGGAAATTCTATTGTTTCGGTGAAATGCTTGTGCATTATAGCACATATTAATTCCATAAAAGCCTGCGCTACATAAAATAATTCTGCATGGGCACAAAGAGAACACTTAAAGCCAAAGAAACGATCAATACATTCAAAATCTTGGTGGACTCGCAAATTAACTCGAAGTAAAAAAATTTTATCACAATATGTTCAAAAAATAAGTGAGACGAGATTCGTGAAAGACTCAAACTCTTTTATCTTTAATCGCCCTTTTTGCTTGGAAGAACCTCCATAAAGCCGTCAAAGTAGCAACAAAACAATAACCTATATCAACAATACAAATTGAAAAACTAAAAAACTCTCACTCAAAAATCTTTATGGAATTTTAAAGTGTATAAAAAAGGATTCAAATTAAAAACTTTTTACTATAAACAATAAAAAGGATAAAGAATCAATTACACAGGTCTGCAAATTAAAACTTTTTTTTTGGAATGGGTGAATTATATGTATTTTGGTATGCTGATTTCAATAATACCATCCATTTCGACACATCACGTAAGGATTTTTTGCGAAAATAAAATATGGGCAAAACCCGCTACTATTTTAAACAAAAGTTATAAGAAAAAAAAAATCGTAAAATTATACAAATTTAATGCATTTTAAATCATAAAATAATTTGTTTACAGTATATACAACTAAAAAACTTTATAAAATCTAGTTTTTTTAGTTTCGAAGCTTCGTTTAGTGCTTTTTCTTTTGTGAGACGTTACATTTTCCCTATGCAGCATCCAGCAGTAGTCACCCATCATATTTGTATCCCATCGACCTTGATACCTTTTCACTATTTCTTTTATATCTTGATGAAACCTCTTACCTTGCTCTTCACTAACTGTACCAAGATTTTCCGGGAAGTAATCCAAATGGGAGTTCAAAAAATGGAGTTTTAAACTAATTGAGCACCCCAGATTTTTAAAATTGTACAACATATTTTCTACAATTTTTTTAAAGTCCGAGTCTTTCTGATTCCCTAGAAACTTTGTAACTACGTCTTTTAAAGATTCCATGCTGACCTCTCAACATAGTTCATCACATTTTCGAAGTTGTTATCTTTCATTAGCTTAAAAATGTCAGGACCAACAAAAACTCCCTCCTTCAGCTTTGCTTCAGACAGACCAGGAAAATTGCTTGAAAGGTATTTAAATGTCTCTCCATCTTTTAGCAATGCCTTCACAAACTGCTTCATCATGCCAAGTTTGATATGGAGTAGTAGTAGAAGGACTTTTTTAGGATCAAACAAAGATTCAAAGTGCATGTTTTTCTCTCCGACCTTTAATGATCTTTTTGGGCATACTTTCTGGTTCCAGTGTTTAGTTTTAGCACAACTATCCCATTTACAAAGAAAACAGGGCAATTTTGTGTAACCACCTTGCTGTCCAAGTATCATAGAAATTACTTTGAGATCCCAACAAACTGTCCACTCGAATTCTTTGTACTGTAATTTATCCAAGATCAATCCCAAGTTACAATAAGTTTCTTTCAAATGCACTGAGTGACGGGTATTAATGCGTACTTATTCTTGTTGTGAAGTAAAACAGCTTTTATACTTCTTTTCGAAGAATTAATAAACAGTCTCTAATTTTCAGCTATATGTTGAACTTTGAAAATGGAAATTATACCATTGATATCGGAACAATAAACCAGCTCACTATAGTAAGAAAAATAAGGCTCAAAATATTTTTCTCTATTTCTATACCAAACAAAAAAAGTTCCAGGTGTCAATAAATTTTTCTCTTGCAGTCTGGATCCTAGTAACTCAGCAGATTGTTTTGAGAGTCCTAAATCTCGGATCAGGTCATTTAATTCAGCTTGAGAAAATTGTTGAGGACTACTGCAGTCGTCTACTTGAAACTCGTCACTAGAACTTTCTTCTGATTCACTTTCTAATTCGTCTAGGCTTGGGGTGCTTGTGGTATAGAATGCCAGGTCCGTGAGGCACTGGGTGGAATGCCGATTCCATGTTTGGATAAAAAATTTGTTTTTTATTTTTGGTTCTATACCCCTGTGCATTGCTCGAACAAAAGTAGCAGTCATCGCTGTGGTTACGAGGCTCTCTCCAGATCATGGGAACACCAAAACGAAAAAATTTAACTTTACCTTTTGACCACATTCTAAGTCTTTCAATACACCCTGAACAAACTCCATGCGGGACCAAGATTTGTCCTGATCGCCTATCTTCACCCCAAAATACGCAAAGTACGCAATTTTAACAAATTCAGTAATATTTCTTTGTGCGTCCATATTATAACTGGAATGTCTGTGGTAAAATGCAAGTTAAATAATGTATTAAGAAGTATTTGCGTAATGATTTAAAAAGAAGAAAAATCCTGTTTAAACCATATGTCCAGGGCTCCAATTGAAAACCCTCCAATTTTTTTAGATGCCATTTTTTCTTTTATGTTTTGTGTTATATGAAATGCACTGTAACTACTTTTTTGCTTTTAATTCAATAAATAAATGTTTCTACTTTCATAAAAATCATTTGGCACATTGTTTTTCTTTAGCGTTTGAGCAATATATTACTTATTCCTTAAGTTTCAGGGGCTAACTTTCCCCTGTGCAAGGTCAAATTCTTGTTATTAGAACTAAATTGAAGAGGATGTGTTTCTTTTAATCTCACTTTTGTAAATATTGGAATAATGCTGATACCAGGGTAGTTGTTTGGATCGATAAGTGGTTTTTTATACAATTTGACTGCAGTATAATAATTGACATAGATGAAGGGGTTTATCCATGATTAATTGCGAAGTGTAAGAATTTTCTTACCCATTGCGTTAGTGCATCACACTATGTTGAAATGATCCTTGCATTTTAGACAAGAAATTTTTATAACTTCACCAGTAATTATTATTTTATTAGAATTTTCGCAAGGTGGAATTTGACGATAAGTATTATTATGAATTATAATATAATAATATAATATAATATATATTTCGCCATAAAGAAAATATTTACAAAATTAGACTTTAAAAACTGTATATACACGGCTGGGGCAAGAAGAAGACAAATTCAGTCATATCGCCAAGCCCCTTCAAACAAGAATACAAGTAACAAACAAAACAAAAAACCAAAAAACCAAAAAATCCGTTATCACAATATAATATATGCGTAAGGTACATATATAAATACAAATATCTAAATATTTTTCATTAAAATTTAATATTTTTTTTTAGTTTTTTTTTTTATTAGGATTTCAAATTTTAATAGTAAATAAAAATGAGATAAAACATGATAATTTAAGAAGGTAAAAATTCAAATTAAAATCAAAAATTAATATGTTAAAAATAAATTAAATATCAAGTAAAAAACAAGTGATTACTCCTATTTAAAAGTTTCAAAAGAAGTCAAGTTCATTGCCAATTATCAAGAGTTTACTTTTTATTTTTTTTTAAATTGATCAAGGGAAGAAATTTTTTTAAACTCATTATCCAATAGGGTGTTCCATAATTCAGGTCCTCTGATTGCTATCGAGAACCTAGTCGCAGAATAAAATTTTTTTGGTTGAGTATAATTGTTGTTTGAAAACCTTGTTGGGTATAAATGATTTATTTTTTCGAAAAATGAATTAAATAAAATGGGTGCCATTTTATTATCTACTTTGAACATAAATATAAAAATATGATATAGGTTAAGTTGAAATACGCTAAGTATTTTGAATTTATTAAAAAGTAATTTAGTGTGCGAAAAGCGATTCACATTTCCAATAATTCTTAGAGCGTGTTTTTGTTTAATTAGAAGCCCTTTATTTTTAGATACATTAGTGCTGCACCAAGCAACGTTAGCGTAACTTAGATAGCAATGAATAAAAGAAAAGTAAATAAGTTTCAAACAAGTTTGGTTCAACAACTGTTTTGCTTTGTATAAAAGGCCTATATTTTTCGAAATTTTATTTTGGATTATTCGTATGAGCTCCTTCCATGTTACGTTTTCATCTAAAACAACGCCTAGAAACAACAAAGAACTCTCTCTTTTGACATAAGAGTTATTAATAAAAAGCTTAGGAAGAAACTTAGTTGTAAGGGTATGTTGTCTTTATCATGAAGACGATGGAAGAAAGTATATTTTGTTTTTTTAATATTTATGGACAACTTAATTGATATAAACCATTCGCTTAGTTTCACAAGCTCCTCGTTCACTGTTGTAAATAAAAAATTAATATCTTTATTTGAATAAAATACGTTAGTATCGTCAGCAAATAAAATTGAATTTAAGATATTGGAAAATTTACTCAAATCATTTATATAAATGAGAAATAAAAGCGGTCCTAGAATTGATCCTTGAGGGACTCCGCAGGTAATTGTCATCAAGTCTGTTTTCTCGCCATCATATAAAATGCATTATTTCCTATTCTTTAAATAACTCTTAAACCAGCCTAAGTTAGAATTTATGATACCATATTCTTTCAGTGTTTATCCATTTTTGAAATATTGTAGCAAATCCTGCGGTAACACAGGTCTGCAAAATTCTGCGGTAACTCAGGTCTGCAAAATTCTGTGGTAACTCAGGTCTGCAAAAAAAAAATTGTTTCTAAGATTAAAGAGTTAATTCTTATGTATTTTTGGTCAAATTCGAAAAAGTTATCAAAAAAATTCTATCACGTAAGGTTTTTCTAAAAAACGCAAAATGCTGTGGGATTGCCTATTTTAGGGCGCAAAACGGGGTTTATTGCCAAAATATTTTTTTATTTATTAACTTATTATAAGATAATTTTATGTT